TGTGCACATGTACATGCTGATGTTAAAAAATGCATGCTTGTACATGTTCGTGTAGATGTTCATGTGCAGTGGTACATGTGCATTTTATCCATGCCCCCGCTTAGATTGATCCTTAAATTTCACGTTTAACATGAGATAGAAAGGTCAGAAAGGCAAGTCTTGAGGAATTTACTGATCAGGAAGATTTGCCATCAGGACTCTGGCAGGATTTCCAGATAAATTCTTCAGCGAATGGCCTACATGTACATTTATGTTTCTTGGGATGACTTGTTGGTTCATACGAAGATATTGTCAGTTTTGTTTGTGTCGTGCTTGCAGCACGTTCCACTTGAAAGAATCAAGCAGTGTCCTGCACATGTGCTGGTATGGTGGTAGGTGTCCGTCCAATCTCATACAATTGGTAAACAATTCAGCCATCAAAACAAGCTCAGCAGGCAGCGTGGGTGTATCCAAAATTAAATTCGGTCCTGTGCCAAGTTGCATGGCCTTTTTTTTTTCTTTTCTTTTTTGCCAAAACAAGTCACAAAATGCCCTTTTTGATCCATGACAGACAGTGGTTCTGTGCTAATGGGTAATTCTCTTGATGGAAATTGAGGTAGAGAATTTTCCAACACGTAAGCCTGTTAATAACTCCTGAAAGATACATGTACGTACATGTATATTCTAGTATAACAAGTCAGACACTGGTAGTCTGGTGTACATGTTTGTGTATTGTACAGATGCAGCAGAAGTGAGCTGTGAATAATACGCTCAGCCAAATTGTCCTTCCAATATGGTCAAGGATAAGTGCTCATAATCCTATCCAATAGAAGCCAATCATTTGGGGTTTTTTTTCTTAATTGAGCAATATCATCAGGTTTCTCTTTTCCTTCTGTCGGCCTATTTTTTTCATTCTGGTGTTTTTTGCAGTTTTCTCAAAACTGCAGCCAGCCTCCATACTCTAAGAAAATTCCCATCGGTTGTCCTTACATGTAGTGTTAATATCTATTATCTGAAAGTACATGTACATGTAATCTTAAGGGAGGCTTCTTGTTGTGTGTACTTATTCATACAAAATATTCAACATTGCAATGGTTTAGTCGTTTCCCGTACAGCCATTTCTTGAAAATACAACTATCCTTCATATTTGCCCCTGTACTTCTGGTGTTTACAGCAAGTTTGTATTGAAGGAGGTATCCACAAAACTCCATTTGTATACAGTGTGTAACTTTATGCTGACCCCAACCACTACCATATTGATTCAGCATTGATATCAGTGTACATATGTAGGCTGGCCTGTGTCCATCTGGTAATAAAATAAGGAGAACTTAATTTGGTCACTGGAAATGTAAATATTGTGCCAAGTCAAATAGATGCGAGTGTATAGGGTACACCCAATCTCATTTGCACTCCCATCAGTTTGGTCTCCATGTATGCATGGCAAACAAGGCCATCCAGCCATTTAATTGGTTCGTCCATTGTCCCAGCTGAGTACAATCCAATATTATCGTTCCATCACGGGCAATATCAGTAACAGCCTTTGTTTTTACTCCAATTTTTTTTTTTTTTTTTTTAAATGAATGCTTAGCACACATACATGTACAGGTACATGTAGTACCGCACTGTTAGATAAAACCGTGCCACTCAATATCGCATGGAATTGGAAAGAAATATCCAAGGAAGAATGGTTTTCATAAGGTGGAGGGGGGGGAATCATCTTGCGATGGACTTCAAGTTCTGATTTGCTGTTGTTTTGGTGATCCGTCTCCAAAACGTACATTGTACAAGCGTTCCTCACTGGAGAATGGTCCATTTACGGTGTCCTCCAGTGATCCGTGTTAAACTCTTTCTGTTTCTTGCAAAGTGTTGTGCAGGGTGCTTTCATACATCGCCACTACTGTAAGTCAACACCCAGAAAAGACTGGCCAGTCTAGGTGTATTTTGGAGTTCAAATTCCAGCTGTCGGTACTGTCAGACTTGAGTATTTGTTAGCTGTGGTGACTGATAAATTTGTCTTCATGTTTGTCGCAGTGGTTAAGTTACAAAAGCTGTTATTTACAATATCTTGAGAAATGGGACGGTTTAATATGGCCCATACTAGTGGGGAGCACATTAAACAGCGTGTAATCTACGTCCATGTATTTACATACCGGTATGTACCGGTTCATACGTGTACATGTATGTGCGTACAACACATTTTCATGAGACACTACATGTATATTAAACCGCAAATTAAACATTTTGTTATCTTTGCAAATTGTACAGTGTGTAAATAATGTGCACCGTATGTTGATGTAGCACCAACAGAATGAAACATTGAACCAGATGAACACCTATTGCACCAGGGCCGCTTGCCTCCACATCTCCTCTAATGAATGCAGCAAGAGAGTCTCCCCCCTGCGCGACAACACACACGCGCTGCATTTTGGGAGAGATGAAAATAAAAGATGCGGTGTTTGCCGTTGCTAGGCGACGGTTGCGTGAGTCCCATTGTCGTTAGCAGCGTGGCTCTATCCTGGCCGTCATCAATCAGGATGATAATTGCCGTTATCCAGCCCGGGGATTGCCACCATCTGCCCCTGCTCACAGGAACGATCATTTCATTGGGGCCAAAATTCAGCAGATGGATTTTAAAGAAGAAAGAAAAAAAAAAAAACCACATGCAGCAGAGGAGGCCCTCGAGTGTTGGGAAATAGTAGATTGACACTCGGTGGTGGGGGACGCGGGGCAACTTAATTTCTCCCCTTGCACCGTGATTCTTCAGCTGTGCATATGCGCCACAGCTCTGCTGTTTTTTTGGGGGGGGGCCTAGAACCAACTTGTGCTCTCTGTACAGGTTTATTGTTATCTTAAATTCAAATTGGATTGTACACTGGAAAAGAAAAGAGGATGTCTTCGTAAACAGAAATTATTCTGGTATGAACCAATTAGGAGATCAGTGAAGTGTGTGAAGCAAGTCAGGGCAGACAAGTGCCCTCTAAATATTAAACGTTCTCGTGACACGCACAAGTGCGTGTGATCGGGCCGCGTCTGCAAGTGGGGAAATTCTTGCTGCATACATGTATGGCGCATATATTTCTGAGAGTGCCTGTAATTTCCTGCAAGAGAAAGGTCTTGGAACTTCCTCTTGAAGCTTAATTTCTCTGTGGAGAGAGACAACTGCTGTTTTCATCGTTGCCTTGGAAGTCAGCCGTCTTTTTTTGGGGGGGGGTGCTTGTTTTTTTTACACCGTGTGCCGCCTGTAATCCCACCTGTTCGGAAGGAAAAGCTGGCATTGTGCCATTGTGGGGAATGGATAAAGGGATGCAGCTGATCGGCGAGGTGTGATTGAGAGCAAAGAGCTGTCAAGGTCATATATTTCATGTTGGCAAGGCAACTAGATGTTGCCGTGGTGACACATTGTCTTCAAGATGAAGATACCTGGAGAATGCCATGCATTGCACACTTCAGTGCACATGTGCATCTTTTGAATCAACATCTACTTAACATCTTTATGATTAAGTATTGATCACATTTAAGTTAAGCGAGTTTGCTCAGCATTTTGGAAATGACCAGGACCCAAGCCATTAAAATCACGTTTTCACCTCTCAATCTCAAACTTTCAGAAATGAATTTATTTCGCAGATTTTGTTAAAAAAGAACCATTTGTATTTAATGTGAAGTGAGAATTTGATATTCATGTGCTGGCAAATACACACGTTGTACATGTACGCACATCAATATGCAGGTACCTGTTTGCATACCTGTACATGTACATGTACCTACATGTGCACGTGCATTAAGTTTAGTTGAATACTAAATGGTATACTAGTCGTAGATCTGTTTTTTTTTTATTTATCGATGTGGCTTTGTTTTGTTAGAGCATCATATTATTAAATGTCAAGTGACTAGAAATATTCGGTTTAAAGTGCATACCAGTGGAACTTTTGAAATAATGTACTGGTACTGTACTAAGGAAATGCAGCTACTAGTGCATTGTACATGTTTATTAATATGTACACCAGTTATATTACATTGAAGTGGTAGTATTCAATGTACTGGCACTATTTCTTAAAAATTAAAAAAATGTGGGAACAGAATAGCAAGAATAATTACTTGAACATGTAATATTTTTAAAAACAAGCCTTAAATTATTTCCAAGGGATGTACCTGAACACGTGTGATACAAATGCAGTGGCAAGCCCTGTTGAAAGAAGAATCCCTGGAAATGGACACATGTTTATCTCTAAGAATCATTTTCTGGGAAAAACTCCTACTGCAGCAAAGAAGTGCTCTTAACTACCAGGCTCTTTCACCAATGCAATTTATCTCGTCCGGGTATCACTTGATGACTGATCGGATGTTTTCCTCGGGGAATGCGCTGCCTTGATGTCACTGTGTGTTTTTGCTTTATGAACAGCGTGTCAGAACTGTACATGTAAATAGATCACTCATCTCATCCACGGGACATTTTCAGCAGAATGTGCACAAATGTGTGAGTGTACCGTAGCATGAGGTGTGGGCTTTAAATGGAAGAGACACTATTTGGCTTTTAATCAGCAAAGGCAAGTGCACAATGGATCTAAGCACAAACGTACAGTACATGTAGATGTACATGTAGCTACAAACGTACATCTGTGCTTGGTTGTTGACGTCAGCAATGCTATATGCATTGTGCTGGCCTAACATATCAGAGCAGTAGACGCTGCGAGGTGTTCTCTTGTGTGTCCAGTAAACTCGTGAAGTGCCGTACATGAGCTCGTTACGTTTTGTTGTTTACTCCAAACAGGAATATCCTTTGTAAGTGCCAGTAAGTCAATGAAAGGATGATGCTCCACATCCTTTGTAGAAAAATTTCACATTCTAGTGTAAAAACTGCTTTTGTCAGACTTGAATCCAATTCTGTCTTCATAATACTCGTCAATTGGTTGTGCAGACCTAATTTTCTACTTCCGAGCCTCAAGAATTTTCAGCGTCAAAAACCATTCCCATTTTGAAATGCTCAACTCATGTTGTGCTCCGTCTTTTTGTCCTCCCTGCAGAACTTGTCAACGAATTCTTGGTTGAGCCCACCACGCCATGATGGAGACACAGGTACCGCATGTACCTCTTGCACCCCACAGAGACACACCCGATCCGGACGCCATCAAAATGTTCGTTGGCCAGATCCCGCGAACGATGAAGGAGGAGGAGCTCAAGGAATTCTTTGAGAAGTTTGGCGAGGTCTACGAACTGAACGTCTTACGAGACAGGAACAAAGAGAACGAAAGCAAAGGTAGGCTCCTATTTTTTTGTATTTTGTTGCTGGTATTCTTCTTTTGATAGCAAAGTTGGACTGTAGTGTTTGCTGTAGACATGTGCTTGCAAGAGGCTAACGTGTTATTTAAAGGTCTTGAAGTTTTTGGTCGAGTCAGTCACAATCTAACATAAGTCACAATGGCGACGATAGCCTTGAATGGTTTATTTGAATAAAGAGGGTGACTTGTCATTGACTTGTGATGGACATACATTAGAGCTGTATATGTGCAGTGTACATGCACACATGTACATGTATGGAACTATTCAACATGGCCATCGGGAAAGATGCTACATTTCCACGTGAGAATTTGGGTTTTCTCTGGCTAAAATCTTGCACGGTACAACTTCAGAAAGTCTTTTGTACCAGCCTTGTCTCTACTCCCGTGAAAATATATTGAGTGTAAACATCCTCATTGATCCCTAGTATCTGAGTCATTTTCTTAGATATTACTCTTTCCCTACTTTGTAATTGTCAGACGTGCAAGTTCTTATTTGCAAATTAAAATACAAAATTGCAAGAAATATGTGAGCCAGCAATTCCCTCTCCCCCCAGCATTGCCAGTAGTCAGGTGCCTCAGAGAGATGCTGCAGTCTGCCAGTCGTAGACACATGTACGTACACAACCTCTGGACAGGGTGGAGGGGTTGGTTTGCCTGAGCCAACATTGCACAATGAAGTATCAATTTGTGCCCCACGATTTGAAGGCGAGAGGGCAAAATAAAGTGTCCATTCCAGCGAGGCGCAATGCAGTTAGATCAATTTGCCGCAGGGAGCTAACTGCCCTAATGCCCCCACGTCACGACTGGCACGACAATGCCGCTGGATCGAGGCAAGTCAGAGGGGCTGTCCAGCCGGGTAACTGGAGATCGCCGTGATCTGCTTGTTATGCAGCGTCATCCAGCAAAGAATAAAAGGGGGAGGGGGGGAATTTGGGGCAGTTGATCCTTGTCTTGATGTAATAGGTACAGTGTATAGATCCAATTAAAACCTGATTGCCGGGCTGATGTACAAGGTCGTGCACTTTTCATGGTACTCTGCATATTCTGAATGCTTGCTGTTTAGTGGAGAATTTGCTTCAAAGTACACACGGAGAGTCCTGCTGCTTTCTGTTTCGATGCCAAACTCGGGTGGAATTAATTTGGGGGGCAGACGCCTTATATGGATTTGGTGAATTTTTTGCTGTGATGAAATCGCAGTAAAATTTTCAACTCGCAGTTTGATGTTCCTGCTGAGAGAAGCCAGGTGTGCCACAGAATGAAATGTGAAATATTGCTTGGGGGTTTCTGAAAAAAGGAAACAAACATTTCTTAGCTTTGAAGGATGAATAGGATTCCTGCCATTTCTGTTTTAAGGACTGAGTGTATGCAATGGAGTGTTCATAATATTCATATGTGTATAGAATGATAAAAACTTACATGTACCGGGTACATGTACACGTACCCGGATGGTCATTTACACATCCATGTACATGTACATGTACCCGGATGGTCATTTACACATCCATGTACATGTACATGTACCCGGATGGTCATTTACACATCCATGTACATGTACATGTACCCGGATGGTCATTTACACATCCATGTACATGTACATGTACCTGGATGGTCATTTACACATCCATGTACATGTACATGTACCTGGATGGTCATTTAATGTACCCGGATGGTCATTTACACATCCATGTACATGTACCCGGATGGTCATTTAATGTACCCGGATGGTCATTTACACATCCATGTACATGTACCCGGATGGTCATTTACACATCCATGTACATCACAGTTTGATTGTACTTGTCCATGTACATCATCAATTTGGGTGTTGGTACACTGTTGAAAATGTCTGTTACGCATTCACATTCATGCAGATCAGACCTCCTGTGAGCCTCCATTGAAATTCTAATTTATTGCCCTGCCTTAATTGCATTACATGTATGTGTGTGTTGTCAATTTTGGAGAAGCCACCAACAACAGCTGCATCACTAGCTTGGGGACAGAAAGGTGTAAGTAAGGCACCGGAGCAAGCCGCTGTGTTTTTTTTCTGGATCTTCAAACGACGCTGACGTGAAACACAAAACAAATGACCTACATGTACATTATTTGGGAGTTGAACCAATATCAATGAACCGAGTGGAATGAGGAGATCATCTGCGATGAGATCAGGCAGAATGATGTTAAACCAACTGTGACAGAATTTCAGGGTTTGTGAGACATTTTGAAAGAACACACTTCTGCTTCATTACTGTGAAAACAAGAAGTACACATGCGCGAGAGTCCAAATGCAGAAACATGTCAGGATTTTCTTTGTGAGATGTACATGTATGCTGTCTTTTCAAAGTAAAAATTCCCCAGAAGTGACTTTGCTGATCTCGTTACACTTTTCAGGTTTATCAACCGGACCATAACTGTACATGTACCGGTAATTTGGAGTTATAAAAGAGGAAGATTGTTAAAGTTTTCTTCAAGATGAATATTGGCAGGGCTTAAGCACCAGTACATAGAAATGTACTTAAACTATATGGTATAGCTCATACATATTTACATGTACATTGCACTGGTATATGTTCGTTGAGATAGAACCTTTCAAAGATGACTGAATACCCAAACAGAATCCCCATCAACCTGACCCCAATTTGACCCTAATCCCTCAGTGCAAGGAGGCTCTTCCCTCTTGCATAACCCATAGATCTCCCCCTGACCCACAGCTGTGCCCGGTGAAAAGTGCAGCTGTACTGAAGGCGGCCCTCATTAACTGCTGTCCATATTTGGCCTGGGTTAGGTGTGGGAACGGCCTGGCATTTTGACTGGTTGTCTGGATACATGTATGCACATGCATGGGAGGGGGGGAGGATGTGTTAGACGTATTTCACTGCTGCCCCTGTAGTGTGCGGTATGCAGGCTATCTGGCTCAGTACCAGCGCCAGGCCAGGGAGCCACAGCTGGTGACCAGGAGTTGGCTTTTTTCCCCCACTGGTTTTACTTAAAACACGCGCCGCTAGTCACATGTGTCGTTGAAGTTAAGATACCAACTAATATGGCAGCAATACCCAGACGTTGTAAATCGGCAGATGCACACTTATTGGTGTTTTCGTGTACCTATCGCACAGCACACTGTACAGCGTATGGACATGTACATGAAAACATGTACATGTACATTGTACCCTATGCAAAAGTCTTCCACATATTGTGGAATATTGTGTGAAACTTTTCACAGCTTGAAGAGGAAATTTAAATTTGGTTGATCACTGCATTACATGTACATATACCGATTCTTGTATTTGTCCATTTCAAGTAAGAAAGGCCCTGTCCCTCTGAGAAATTCAGCCTTTTAAGGGGTTCGAAAATAAAACATCCATCTCAGTTGTCAGAGCTGTGAACCTTTCATTACTTGGACACACTGTTTGGGCATGCCAATACCACACCGGTGCCCACTCCCGAGATAGTATCTCACACCATGAGTTTTTCCCATACAGCCAGCGGGGCACCGGGTGGCGATGCACATCTTTTGATTAGAAATGCTTTCAACGCATCTGCGCCTCCGAGTCCCTTACACCTTCACTTGACTTAATACACAGCAAGTTAAAGGGATGAAAGCGCTTGATTGCTGGAACTTTTAAGAAAAATCACTCACCAAGTTCAGTTGTGCCTTGAAGGAAAGTGTTGTGCATCTTCCCTCACAGGTCTTCAAGCGAAGCGCATTTACGACATGTACATCGGTTTATTATTTTTATGCAGAATATTTTGGGTAGAAAAATTGAATGATGGTATTTTGAGTTACAGCCTACAATGTGGAATGGCGACATCCTATACTTAACAAGTCACCCATATACACTCCAGAACTTCCACATTTATGAGTTGCAATCAGAAAGTAGTTTACTGTGCTCACTCCTGGTGTGTGGAGAGGCTTTGCTGCTTACCATTTGAAATTAATTTCTGGAACAAGCTCGTGCCATGTGCAAAATGTCTCGTCTCTGAAAACCCCCGGCTTGTGTTGGATGAAATTTAGTGGATGTCTTGGGACTCTTACATGTAAACGAGGAAGCAAATTGTGCGGAATCAGTCTCGTCTGTCCTGGTCAATTCATTTTAATTTGTCTGTCTTTAATGAGTGTGATGTATGTTTGTCGCTGCCTCAAAGACAATTGCCTTCAGCCAGCTGGTTGTTTAATTAAAAACGTGGACACCATTATCCCGTTCCGCCATCGTTTCTGCCGAGTGCCAATCCATATTAATGACAGCCTCTGTGTTTTGGTTTAATGAACAAGCGTGACTGCATATAGTGTGTACATGTACATGAACCACTTGACAATTGACATGCCCTCCGTGAACCTTGCTCATACATGTGATAATGACGTTCTGTAACTTTTATTTTTTTGATACGGCCTAATGTACTGTATCAGCACCTTTGCATTACAGATACTGTGAGATATGGTCAGTCTTGTAATTGATATTATTTTTATTATATTTTTCTCTTTTGATTTATATGTACCAGTGTGTATTTTAAGACGGGGAAGCTGGTTTAACTTTTAACGTGTAATAGAAGAAAGCAAAATTGGCCTGTTTTGCGACAGCCTAGGCTCATTTGACGAGAGATTCTTGTCACTTGAAGAACTCACATTGCTATCAAACAGTCATCTGTGGAGCAGCGCGTCATAACAAATGACGTGCCATTACCTGTCATTCCCCATCATCTTCTCTCTTTGTCTTATCTTCATCAGATCAGCTGGAAAAGGCCATCTTGTTTTTGAAACTCTGTGGCATCCGTTTCACTCGCAACTGTTTGGATAAAAGCTTCAGTACAAAGTAACTTGCAGTGGTTGTTTTCAGAGACACTCATATTTTGGGCTTGATTTCCCCCCCCCCATCTATCCTGTCTCTATCAGTGCCTGAGTTGATTGATGGCGCTAAGTGCCCAGAGCTGAGAGAAGAGAGATTGTTATTGGATTTATTGGGGAGAATTTTTTGAATCACACCGG